ATTTCAACTACAAGGTTTCAATTGATTCGTGTTAAAAGTGCTGTCTTTTCTTTGTCGTTGTTGGATACCATACAGTCGGTTCCAACTCATGTTGTACCCTGTGTACAACAAAATGAGACACTGCCCTGTCCTACATCATCCTCACAATCATTGTTATGTATGAGCCCACTGTTGCAGTCACTGTGTCAATCCATCTCGTTAAGGGTCTTCCTCTTTTTCACTGACCCTCTGCTTTACCAAGCATGATATTCTTCTCCAGGGACTGGTTTTTCCTGATAACATGTCCAAAGTATGCTCCTTGCTTCTAAGGAGCATTCTGGCTGTACTTCTTCCAAGACAGATTGTTCATTCTTCTGGCAGTCCATGGTGTCTTCAATATTCTTCACCAACACCATAATTCAAATGCCATCAATTCTTCTTCGGTCTTCCTTATTCATTGTCCAGCTTTCACATGAATATGAGGCAATCTAAAGACACCATGGGTTGGGTCAGGTGCACCTTAGTCCTCCAAGTGACATCTTTGCTTTTTAACACTAAAGAGGACTTTTGCAGCAGATTTGCCCTTCCTCTTTTCCCTTATCTTCCACTTTAGTAGCTTAATTGAAGGTTCGGGGATAAAACAGGGAAGGATCGCATTGTGGACCCTTGCCCTTCTGTGTTCCCCTCAACTCTGATTTTTATTATCCAGCGTACAACAGAATCTGGCACCTTTCAGATTATGGACCCCATGCACGAAACCTAGCAAAACTGCATTCTACATTCTTCCCTGTCCCACCGTAACCACTTTTTTTTTTTTTTTGAGTGGGGTAATGTACTTCCTTTTTCTTCATGTTGAGATACTTTAACATTATTTCCTTTTTATCCCCCTCCACCAATTTAGTAATCTCTCATATCCAGTCTTTACTTCTAGAGTATATGATGACTCCCTCAACTCCTCCTTTCTCCAATACTTTGGTTGCTAAGTTCTCTGAGCAATGCTCCAACCTCCCCCTTTGGAGGAGGTGTTTTGGCTATAAATACCTTCAAACAACAAATAAAATTCCTACAGGATAAAAAGGTAGAGTTCTGGTGACTGTGCAAAACTAAACAACAGGAACTAGAGCTAGAATAAGCACAGTACTATAATTTCTTAGGGAGGATGCTAATGGACATTGGACCATTGGCAACAGAATTTATGATTAGAAGAAACTTTCTTCGAGCTTGTTATATTAGCTATAGAAGTATAACTCTAGAAAGGGGATATATGGGAGTTAATATATATTTCTCATAGCAAAAATTAAGAAGTTTGTAGGAAATCAACTAAAGGACTAGAGAACGTTAAAAGAAGGCATAAAGATTCAATGTTTTAGTACTGAAATTTAATACATGCTTTGGTTTTTAATCTTACTAAAGGACAGTTAAGTTAAAATACTGTTCTTTCCATTTCTAGAATACTTTGTGTTAGGCACTACTCAAAGCAAAGTCTAGATAAGTGTAGTTGAAATTGATCTTCAATATCATTACCTCTTTCTCTGCCTCTTTTCCTTCTTTCAGAGACTGATCCTTCGACAAGTACTCAGTTTCGTTCACTCCAGCAAATTTCACCCAAAGTTAGCTCTCTATCCTCTGACTTCCTTGATTAGGTTAGTTTCCTTGTGTTATAGCTATTTTCATGACGTCTTGTATTTGCCCCTTCCCCACACCTGTCTCACTGGTGGAATGTCTTTTTTTCTAATTTATAAGCTTTATGAGGGCAGGGACAGTATGACTTACTCAACTGTTGTAATACAATGACTGGTATATATGCTTATAATTATTTGTTAAAGTAATTGACTTGTATATGTTCTCCCTCATGGGAATCTGCATTCTCCCTAATTTTTAAATAGAACACTGTGCTGTTGATTGGATTTAAATGGAATAAAAATTAGTTTCATGAGGCCAAGACTTAAGATTTTAAAAGAAAAATATAGGAAATGATTTCCAGGAATGTCAAGAGTCATTCCGGGAAATATTTATTTTTTGTCTTGTCAGGGTTTAAATTATGTCCCCCAAAAAATGTGTGTTATCAATTTGGCTGGGCCATGATTCCCAGAACTGTGTGGTGGCCTCCATTTTGTGATTCTAATCTTATGTTAAAGAGGATTAGGGTGGGATTGTAACACCACCTTTACCCAGGTCACATCCCTGATCCAAAGTAAAGGGAGTTTCCCTGGGGTGTGGCCAGCACCACCTTTTATCTCCCCAGAGATAAAAGGAAAGGGAAGCACGCAGAGAGTTAGGGACCTCATACCATCAAGAAAGCAGTGCCAGGAGCAGAGGGCATCCTTTGGACTGAGGTTCCTGCGCAGAGAAGCTCCTAGTCTGGGGGAACACCGAAGAGAAGGCCGATAGAAAAAGCCTTCCCCTGGAGCTGACACCCTGAATTAGGACCTTTAGCCTACTTTGACTGTGAGGAAATAAACTTCTCTTCGTTAAAACAATCCACTTGTGGTATTTCTGTCATAGCAGTACTAGGTGACTAAGACAGTCCTGGTAGCTTTTCTTTATTCTTCTTCAATGAAACAATGTAGATAACCTAAGTACAACTTTCCTTGCCCTTATCAATTTATGTGATTTCAGCTTCAAGTTCCAGTTGATTCCTTCTCTTTCTTCCCCTCAAGTTTGGTAACTTTACTGAAGTTAATACGCAAGATAATATACAGTTGAAAACTATTTAGAAGTCTCAAATGTGAAAACCCAGATTTATAAAACAGTCTGGGGAAATGGTAATTCAATTTAAAAGATTTACTAAATTCCTTTAAGTAGTAAACTGTCCTAGTCCAGCTTACACTATTGTTTTAACTGACAAGAAAACGCAACTTTTCAGACCACAACTAAACATTGTAGCAGTAGAAAATAATTTTCCTCAATGTCGAAAGAAAAACAAAAACAAAAACAGGGAAGACGTAAGAGAGAAAACATGGAAACAGCCTGTCTCGTATCTTCTACTTTCCATTGCTTTCTGTGTCATTGGGCTAACTTCAAACTTGAAGATCAGTGGGAGAAAACGAGACCCAGACCTTTTTCTTCTCAGGTATAGGAGTGGGGGAAGATGGAGTCGAGTTAGCGCGAACTAAGTACATTCAACAGTTGTCCAAGTTAGACTTTCCAGACATTGTCTTCCCTGGCCTTGAAAAATAGGGAAAAACTGAGGCTGGCCCGCTTTGATGGGCACTTAGTTATTTTGTGGGGCTGTATGTATTTGCACATCATACAATGTGCAGAGGTGAGGACCAAAGATCCTCGGACAGCTTAGAGTCCCTCAAAGTCCTAATTAGCAGGGAAAATAAAAATCACCTGGCGAGGGGAGTTGGGCTGATGGGGTACAACTTAAATAATGGCCACAACCAACCTTCCCCCGCGGAGTTCAACAGCAGAGGGCACAACACCCACTGTCCACGGTCAGGCGACCAGGAGCGGCGGAACCTAAGGATTGCTGGGCTTGTAGTTCGTCATGTCCCCTTTAGGCCAGCCCGTCCCCGGGTTAGAACTACAACTTCCAAGCAGCATCGCGCGCTTCTCTTTTCTCCCGCCCCCTCTCAGAGGAGGTGGCAGACCAGGCCGGGTCTAGAAGCCCGGGGAAACTGCCCAACTCCGCCTCCGTACTCACGCGTCATATTTGTTTACCTTGAAGCCCCGCCCCTGCCATCCCGGGCTCTCCCCGCTCCTCCCAGGAATGCCGTAATGTGGCGATGCATATTCATGAGGCCAGGGGCGAGCCCCCGCCCCTCTCACAGCGCGTGATTCATATTCAATAAGTCGGGCTCCGCGCTGGCTTGCCGGGGAGAGGCGGGGTGGAGGCGGGGCCTACGCTCAGAGCAGGCGGCCCCGGCGGGGAGGGTTTGTGGCGGCGGCTGGCGGGCGCGCGAGATGGAACGCCGAGACACCGGCGGAATGCTCCGAGTCGCCACATAATCCCCCCGAACGGCGGCGCCGAACGCCACTGGCTTCGCGCTGCTCCCCGCGCAGTCGCCGGCTCCCGCCTTCGCTTCGCCGCCTCCCCCTCGGCCCGCCGCCTCCGGAGCTGGGGGGGAAACGCCGAGCCCCACCGCAATGGAGCCTGCGGTCGCGGCGCAGCGCCTCCCCGAACCCGGCCGGGAGGACCTAGCATCGGTTTCGGCGGCTG